TCTCTCGATGTTCCAGACTGGAGTATTCTGCTGAGCAGGAGAAACCTCCAGTCACTGAGTCGCCGGCTGAAGGAAATGTGTCGAATGTGCGGCATCTCCGCCTCGGATACTCCCAGCATCCTCAGCGTGTGCTTGGTTGCCATGGAGCCCCAGGGATCATTCATCATCATGCCAGGTGTGTGTGCAAATGACAAAGATTATCAGAACACTTACTATCTGTATTAACATGCACTTCTCATCTGAGTCGATTACTCCTCCAAGAAAGGTGTGTTCATGTCTGTGTGTGTGTGTGTGTGTGTTTGGGTGAGAGTGTGCGGCGTGATGGATGGCAGCAGCATATCACAATGCATGTCTGCTCCTTGTCCAGAGCAGATTGATGGCAGGGAAGATCATGTACCTTTTGCTCATAAAGCACTACCTCTCAGATGCCCATTGATCTCAATGCGGTGTGATGGAGAGCCAGATCAATGGGTTTATTTTGGGAAACGAGTGGGGGATTGTCAGTGCATCATACCAGGATTGTGTTGAGCGATGCCGGGCTGAGGCCATCTCCTTTCTAAAAAAGCTCTTTAAGCTGAAAGAGATTAGCAAGGCTGTGTTAGACTCGGATGGATATGACAAGGGGGGGGGGGGGGGGGTTACATCACTGTAACATGGAACAGAAACTCAAGAGAGTTGCTGGCTCTATACGTAACAGCTGTTTCAGTTACAATTATGAAATGCATATGCAGAAACCTATATGAATTGTAAAATTAAGACATTAATACTTCAACAGTCGTTGAAATGTTATGCTGTAGTTGAAAATGACTTTATGTTTTTATCACAATTGGAAAGTTGTTACTTGGTGCACGGTTGAAGATGGTCCTTGTATATTTTTAAAGGAGCTGTATGTGACATTCTGAACATTAATATAGCAGTAGACAACTATTTTCTATGTGTATATCTAGTGGAGGGATGTCTACCTGAGCGCTTCCTTTATGTGTGTTGTTATCAGAGCTTCTCCTGCTGTGTTGACATAGCCTGGCCGGCTGCACGTGCATTTCAGTGCATGTGAGCGTGCCCCACTGGTTCGCTCACGGCCGCTGCTAAACGAATCACAAGGGCTATAGAACCGAGTCACTCTGGTTGTTATTACAACTGATTCTATATAGATTGATGACGGGTAACGTTTGAGTTATTTCTTTGGCAGCAGAGTTAGTTATATTCCTTTGTGAGTTATATGACGCTTCACCAGTTTAAAGATCTGACCCGCAGTAGGTAAAAGGATTTTGACAAGCATTCTTATTTTGTTGCCGTCTTCTTAGCCTCACTGTTTATTGACCGGTCGCTCTCTCCTTCCTCCTCTCCCATTAGACTCTGTGTCGACAGGCTCAGTGTTTGGCCGCAGCACCACCTTGAACATGCAGACGTCCCAGCTGAACACCCCACAGGACACCTCCTGCACCCACATCCTGGTCTTCCCCACGTCCGCCTTCGTCCAAGTGGCCAGCTCCAATTACACCAACATCGACCCAAACATCGACATTCTAAACGCCACCAACGGTCAGTCGGGCTCCTTAATCTGTCTTGCAGTCATTGGACTTAAGCGAAGCCACAGATGTTAAAGGGAAATGCAGCCATTACTGTGTTTCCCTTCTAATCTGTACTGTTTTTTCCCAAATCCTTCCTGTTTACTTTTCCAGGCTATTAAGAGTCCGTTTAGAAGTAGTGTGTGCTTACATGCTTAGTGCATCTGCAGCACCTCATGTGTCTTAAGCTTATTTCCTGAGTGCAAATGTATTTAATGACAGTAATATTAAGCATGGTCCCTCACATTCCATATTCAGTAACAAGCAGAATGTCCAAATAATATCTTCTGAAATGTATATTGCGACAGAAAAATACATATTTTTGGCACACAGATATGTGGGAGGGACATTTTCATTAAGAGTATTTTCGATGCTTTCAGAGACACATGGAGTGTATTTGTTTAATAACAATCCTCCCACATCATCACTTGCAGACCTGTTGAATTATTCTCCTGTTGTCCTCAGATGGGTCCGATGCCATTGGGATCTTTGACCTGCTGGACCAGGAGAACGAGTTGGTGGACCCAGACATCATCAACATCTCGCCCAACACCTCACCAGTACACTCGCCTGGCTCTCATTACCACCACGGGGGTGATGGCAGTAAGGTGAGTCAACCCGTGCATGCACACAGTTCCGTATACTTCTATGTTGCAATATTGAAAGCAGCCTTGGATTGATGTCGCACCTCATGTCTCCCATTCCTCTGTATGTTGTTAAATGAGTCAGAATACAACAACATTAGATAGTCTTATCAAAAGACATGCAGTACAACTTGTGATATGACACATGGACACAATGCTAACCTTGAGTTTCTCCCTTGTTACAGGGCCAGAGTACTGACCGTATGGAGTCTCATGAAGAGGTTCCGAACCTCCTGCAGCAGCCTCTGGCACTTGGCTACTTTGTCTCCACGGCGAAAGCCGGCCCACTACCTGACTGGTTCTGGTCAGCCTGTCCGCAGGCTCAGAACCAGTGTCCACTCTTCCTCAAGGTAGCAGGCTCCGCCCCTCTCACGTCTTTATTTAATGGGTTTCGTTTAGTGCTGCCTTTTTACACAATGAAGACTAAATTACACTAAAGACAACCTAATGGAAACATCAACGTAGGTCACGGTGCACTACAAAACAATAACAAACTAACTGTAGGGATATTCATTACTTTTAAGAAATATGCTTTCTTGCTGAGAGTCAGATTGATACCACTCATGTCTGTCCGTTAAATGTAATGCTTCAGCTAGCATCTGATTAGCTTAGCATAAAGACTGGAAACAGGGTAGCAGCTAGCCTGGTTAACCTGTCAGCCCCTCTAAAAGCTCACTTATTAACATGTCTCGTTTGTTTAATTTGTATAAAAACAGTAGTGTAACAATGGCACGCATGGTTTTACGATCGATTATATGGTATGATTCATGGATTCGCCGCTGATTGCCGGGAAACCTCACTGTGACAACAAGACTCCAGGAAGCCATTGCTTCCAACTGAGAAATAGTTCAGCACGCAACTCCCCATTGAACCACAACAGTCCTTTAAAAATGCAGTTATTAATATGTAAGGTGTAAATGAACTGCTAACCTGTTCTGTGGCATTTTGAAGCTCAGCCCCAGCAAGTGTTTTTGAGGTAACTGAACCCTGTAACCGAAGATGTTAGATACAAGAGGACGACAGAGTTTTGATTTGCACGGGTATCCCCTCTGCTGCTGTCACCGCTCTGTGAAAAGAACTGTAATTATTTACATGAGATGTAATAAAAGGTTAATAACTTTGTTATGATGCCATTTCCCCTCGCTCCCTCTCTCAGGCCTCTTTGCACCTCCATGTGTCTTCAGTGCAATCAGATGAACTACTGCACAGCAAACACTCCCATCCCCTCGACTCCAATCAGACCTCAGATGTACTCAGGTAAACAACACCGGACACAATACTACATAATATCAACCCGCTGACTGTGTTTTCAGCCGGGGTTTGTATTGCAGATTTCATTCAGACTGAAGTTGTTTTTTGATACAAATGACTAATTGACCGTATTCATGAGAATTGAAATGGCCCAGGGTGGATCATTTTGAAAAATAAAGGCTTATTTTATTTATTTATCTTTTTAAACCCAGCGTGCCACCCTACAAATACCTCCAATTTAAAGATGCATTTCTGATGTGTGCCTGAACAGATATGTGCTGGAGCAGTACAACGCCCTCTCCTGGCTGACGTGTGACCCGGCTACACAGGACCGACGATCGTGTCTACCCATTCACTTTGTGGTGCTCAACCAGATGTACAACTTCATCATGAACATGTTGTAGCCAACAGCCTGTTGCTGGCGGGGATGTAGGGGAAACATTTCAAAGAAAAAGGAAAGCGACGACTCGAGGGAGCTTTCATCAAGACTGAAGGAAAGTGCAAGAAACCAGACGGGCGTACGGAGCTGGATCCTGCACCGAGATGGGATTAGACGGCTGGTACTGGTTGAGACGGTCCAGTCCGTGTGAATCAAAGACATGCACAAAGAGACAAGCGAATAAAGATGAGGGGGGGAACCAGAAGTTGAGTCGCAAATTAATGAACGTGAGAGAATGACAAATTGGATGTCATGGTATGTAGCATGGCAGCACAGTCACTGGCCAGTGTGTACCGGAGAGACAAGTCTATTTGTAAAGTTATTGGAAGAAAAGGGACATATTTGATCGTGGAAAAAATGGATCTTTGATTTTAAGATCTGAAATTCCTTTGGATGAAATAGTATCCAATTGAAATGCCTGCATCTATCTTATTTATTGTAAGTTTTTAAATGTATAATTTGTCTTATTTCTTAACCTCTTTTATATATAAAAAATGGAGAAGGTTTATATCACCTTCCTGCTTTAAAGCAATCGGTTTAAGATGTATGTAATCGTCTTAATTACAAAACAACCAGGAAAAAAAATCCCAATGAAATAAGGTCCCAGTAGGTTGCTTTTAGAGTATTATTTTTTGTAATGGAGACAGAATATTTGTATTGTCACAATGTACAGAAAAATGAGAGTGGAGAATTATGTTCCATGCCTTTGAGCATGGACGACTTACAGCAAAGCTGTAGCTACAGAGGACTTGTACAGCAATGAACTTCACTGTGTTCAAATAAAGAGGTACATTGTTGTGTATATAGTATTTTATACCACACATTTAGACACAAAAACCAAACGGCAATATATATAAATAATTATATATGAATGCCATGCCAGCAGTTGGTGGTGTGGCTTCTGTTTTAGGAATAAAGTGCGTCAACTTATTTTCCTGTGCTTGTGATTATTGGGGAGGGGGACGGACGGTGATGTGCAATTGGACAAGGACACCAATAGTGGAGTGGAAGGAGAACTAGTGGCATCTCTTGGAGGTAGCTGACCTCGGGTGTGACTTTTTTTTTTTTTTTTTTTTTTTTATTAGGTGAGAGAGAAAATGAGAACAGTTGCCTTAATGGCAGACATGCAGTGTCCCTTTCAGCACATCCCTTAAGTATACTATACCTCTCCTTTACTCTGATTGGCTGAGGTCTGGCTCTTTTGGCACCGCTTCTGATTGGTTATGGATACATTTAGACCAGTCCCATTTTACTTCAGTGTGAAAGTAAATGTGTGACGTAAATGAACTTTAACCAGCTATGAATGCCTGCCCATTGGATATACAGTGTTTGTGCACTGAGGAGCATCTACTGTCTGAATTTATCCTGTTCAGGTTGAGCTGTGCTTTGCTATTGCTGTTAACCTTGCATATTTGCCAATAATTGTTGGCTTGAGATATTTGACCATCAAAATGTATGTGGTCTTCTTTTGAGTGTAGAAAATACATTCAATTTGAAATAAAACCCTGAAAATTAATTTTCAGTCTGTTGCCATGTTTTCTTTTTGAGAAATCATGGTTGTTTGCAGTAACCATCTGCTTCTACAATACAGTGGGTCTGCAAGCTTGTTATCACACTCACTTTTGTATTCACAAGTGGGAAAGGCAGCGGAATAACCCTGCATAATAAACAGAGTCGGATATCTTAACGTGTAAATTGCTGAATTGCCCCGAGGTCGTGTTGAAGCAGCTGGCAATTCATTCTTTTGAGAATTTGCTGCAGTTTTCTCCGCTGTCAGCGGCCTTTAAATACACAGAGGTCCCGCTCTGCTTTCCTTCATCCCCAAGCAAATGCTGTCAATGTGCCCTTGAAAATGTAGTGGAATTTACCCTGACATGTCAGTGACAGGCCGGGTAAAACTCTACACAATGTAAGAGAGAAATGTAATCAGACAGAGGTAATTGTTTGGCCTCTCATGTAACTGTAAAACCTATGACACGTCACATTATAAGATATAATTAAGAAAAGGTGTTTATTAAATACAACACACTCTCAATGACTTTTCAATGATATTATAATATATTAATATCTGCACCGTAACCAGATATGGATATCAGGTCTGTCAGCCACAAGAGCTTGGGGAAAAGATAACACACCAGCGAGTATCCACATTGTCTATTTCCACGTGTTATTTATGGTGCAGAAATTAATCTTCACACGTCACCAGCAAGAGGTCTGTTTGCATTATTCAAAGAGCCGAACAACTGAAACTTTCTACTGGAGCCACTGTTTTGTGCATGTGAAATAAGTTGTTCTAGTACTCTCGTGTAATGTGTCAACATTGCCCAGCCCATGTTGATCGCACCACCGCCTGCAGTTGGGGCATCACCGGGAGTGTTGTAACGTTACTGCCTCCAGTCAGTGCTGCTCCACAGTGCCCATTCGACCGGCTCCCTCACTGTCACACTGACATAGTAATCACTGTAGCTACAGATGAGATACAAGTGGATATGCGGAAACCATAATAGACTGAGCATTGCAAAAAACAAACATATTTCCATAAAGCTACCGGAACAGCTAGGACGAGCTTCTCTCTCAGTCATTGGCTTTGGACTCCCAATAACATTAGAGGCTGACGGTACACAACAGAGCCCGAGGTCTGGAGGCCTCTCTGGTGAAATTTAGTTCTAAGTATCATCCTAAGAATTGAGGTAAGATGATTCGTGTCGTATTGTTGTATTTACGTTGAATGTTTACACGGCAGAGACGGACCAGACAGCACATGAGAGTATTATCCTATGACCAGTTAGCCTAGCCTAGCCTAGCCTAGCTGCTAGCTGGCTAGTAGCATGCGCCGCTCAAACAGCAGCTGACAAGTGAATGAGTGTTAGCTACTGCCAGTTAGCTGTTAGCTTAACAGTTGGAGTTGGCTGTATCTTGCGATATTGCTTCTGCTTTTGAACGCGTCTAAGTGCTACGCATGAATCGGAATAATGTGTTGACTTGGGGTGGGAAGATTGCGCGTAAGTTATTGTGTTACCTGCCCAGTATTAGTTAGCATTGACATTAGCGTTAGTTAGCCGCAATAGCCAGCCTTCACTTTGTTTTGTTAGCAACGTTATAATTATACTAACAACCTTTACATTATGTAGCAAATGAATAACCAACACTATGGGAACATGAACTAACTTGACATTGCGTACGATTCAGATATTTACGAACGTTAGTAAGATGAGAAATGAATGCATTGGCACTAAGAAAGTTAACTCGGCTTCTTCTGTCAGCTGAACTCTGAGTTGTTTAAAGTATATGTAGTGTTTATGTAGGGTCTATGTAGTGTTTGCTAAACCATGCTATCGGTGCATCTGCTCATACCACTCAAGATGCCCAGACTAGAAGACTGTCTACTGTATTTGCTTCATATGCCATCAGATGCCGTCCTTTTAAATTGTCTGCTTCGCCTGTCCCGTCCAGGCTAAGTTGCAGAGACATGGCAGACAGTGCAGGGCTACAGTTTGTCAGCTCTTATGCCTTTGAAGCCATGCAGAAGGTGGATGTGGGTGGGCTGGCTGCCCTGAGTGACCTTGAGCTGAGGCTGCTGCTGCCCTGCCTGGTGAGGATGGCTCTGTGTGCCCCAGCTGATCAGAGCCAGTCCTGGGCACAAGACAAGAAGCTCATCCTCCGCCTGCTCTCCGGGGTGGAAGCTGTCAACTCCATCGTAGCGCTTTTGTCTGTGGACTTTCACGCCTTGGAGCAGGACGCACGAAAAGAGCAGCAGCTCAGGTAAATCTGACATACACCTGGTGACATGAGTATTACTACAGTCTCTTATTAAGAATTAGGTGCCTCTGTTCATCATACATACAGTTGTGTGAAAAAGTGTTTGCCCCCTTCCTGATTTCTTATTTTTTTGCATGTTTGTACACTTAAATGTTTCAGATCATCAAACAAATTTAAATATTAGACAAAGATAACACAAGTAAACACAAAATGCAGTTTTTAAATGAAGGTTTTTATTATTAAGGGGGGAAAAAAATCCAAACCTACATGGCCCTGTGTGAAAAAGTGATTGCCCCCCCCCTCTGTTAAAACATAAATTAACTGTGGTTTATCACATCTTTGG